TGGGAGTTTTAGGAAAACAGGTGACCATGGGGGGACAATGAAAATATTCCCAAGGGATATTTATATCCTCCATCTGCATCCAAATCAGTGGGAATTACAAAAATCTAAATCAATAAGCGGTGTCTCGTGTTCCTGTGGTGTTTTATAACAGGTTTGGGTATCAATGACAGAGACAATCCTTGGAAGCTCTGAGAGAAAATCGATCAAATTTAAGCAAATACAGCTGGTCTGGAATATTCCTGAAGGATAAAGAAGGAAAAATAAAGAGAACAGGGATTTATGTCTCAGATAATCCAGGTTATTGTCCAGTGTGGTTTCATTCTGCTCTCAATTCCTCTGGTTTGTCCATAAAACTCTCTCAGAATTAATCAATGTTTTATTCCAAAGCCTCACCATCTCTTTGGATATCAATGGAAGATCAATGATATTCCCATGAGAGTGGAATTAGAGAATATTGGAATACATTAGGACTAAATAAAATAAATAATAAAACAAACCCCAGACTGGAAAAACCCCTCCACGAGCCACTTCTTCTCCTGATTTATATTTTAAATCACAGCTCAAAAGGAAAAGTTGACTTCATCAATAGCTTTGTTCTACACAGAATTTTAGAAAAAGTTCATTATTTGGATAGCAGGGTTTTCTCCACAGCCCAGCAGGATTAAAGAGAAGGAATTCTGATGCCTGGAATTTTGCAATGCACAATGAAGCACAAATGAACCTGCTCTATATAAAAACCCCATAAATCCTAAATCTCGTTTCAAGAAGAGGAGCTGCACAAAGGTTACGTTCTCGAGCAGTAATTTCCTGAGAAGTGTTTGAAAGCAATTCAGCATTTTCTTTCTCCAAACTGTAGAGCAGAACTGATCTAACAGGAATAAGTTGGTCATTTTCTGTGACCAGAAAATGGTAAATACTGGGAACTATAAGAAAAGTTTCACTTCTCCTTTACTCTTTACTCTCCCAATCTTTCCCAGAAGTCTCCTTCCCTCTGCAAAAGGTTAATTTTGGGAATACAAGACACAACCATGCTATGATTTTAATGTGCTTTTTTAAAAAAAAAAAAAAAAAAAGTTGATTAAATTCCTTTAATTTCTCAAACATCCCATGAAAATCAGCAATAACTTGCAGGAAGAGCAGGATGAGGCTCCAGAGTTCTCAACCAGGAAAAAAGGCAGCAGCAGTTGGGAAATATTTACATTTACAGGCTCAGGTTACTCCAGGAACTCCTTCTGTTAGGCTGGACATGTACTTCAAATTTATTTTTATTTATATATTGATTTGTGAGTATTTATTGTCCACAGCACAGTTAAAGCCTTTGATCACATGGATCCAAGAAATTGATTCCAGGGAGTTACATCTGCCTGGAAAAGCTGAAGGTAAAAGTCTTTACTTGATGGAAAGGGAAAAGAAAACAATAATTCCACTTTTATTCTGCTAAGATTTTAACCTCCCTGCTTTTCAAAAAGCCTTGAAAATGAGAAAAGGAAGTTCCAACTTTATGAAAAAGAGTTCCTGC